GGACATTGAGATTCAGTACAGCTGGGTGAAGAGGAGTGCCAACTCATTTGCGGATGGGTTGGCCAAGCAAGGAGTGAATAGGGAGTCTGTTTTTTGGGCTAGTTTTTAATCTTTCTTCTTTGCATTCCCTTTGTTTTCTGTTTTTGGGGAGCTAAGTTATTTTATCTCCCCTTTTGTATCCATATTCCTCTTTTCTTTTAATTTAATGAAGATGGTGTTATTGATAAAAAAAAAAAAAGGCTACCAAAGGACATGTCAATCCGAGCGAGATGGGTGAGGAGAACTGCCAATAGTTTGGCAGATAGCTTAGCCAAGCAAGGGTTACAAAGAACACATCTGTTTTTGGGCTCAAATGTAATCTTGGATTGGGTCAGCTTTCTAAAGCTGGTTTTTTCTTTTCACAACTTCTTGTTGTATCCTGATTTTTCTAATAATAATTTTTCTTTTCTGTGTTGCTGATAATCCTGATTTTTCTTTTCTGTGTTGCTGAGAATAATAATAATAAGAATAACAACAACAACAACAACAACAACAACAACAACAGCAACAACAGCAACAAGTTCGCCTCGCCTAATCGCCAAGCAGTTTTGTATAGCGGGTTTTTGAGGTTATAGTTTTAACATAGACATTTTTAAACTAAAACATTCATTTTGTGTGTTTATACACTAATTTCTTTTTATTATTTTCTTATTTTTTAGGGTTTAATACTTTAATCAACACAAATATTGCTAAATGCTGTATTGAACCCTGAAAGACTTCAAAACCTGAACCAATATGTAAGGAAGAACTTAAATGTTGTTTAATCAACACATTTAATTTCTTTTTCTTTACTAATTTTGTGTGTCTATATACCAATTTTCTTCTACCACTTTTTCTTTTCTTCTTTTCCTATAGCAGAAATAGGGGTTCAGCCCCTATATTTTTTAAATTTCTTTTCTTTATTCTTTTTTTTTTCTCATGAATATGTTGGAATATGTTGATTTTCTATACTTCAACATGAAGTTTATACTTTTCTTATGAAAATTATGGATAATTATTAAAGAAATATGATTATCGGTTGTTCTACTACTATAATGCCAAGTTCCTCCGGTGGGGATTGAAGCCACAATAATTGAGACACCTTGAGCCATGGACTTGTATTTGGCTTCTGCACGTGATCTGGGCACTACAGACTCTTTCTCACTTTTCCAAGAAACCATATTATCCCCAACAAAGGTGCGAAAGCCTGAAGTAGACATAATCCAAACATTTTGCCCAATCAGCAATTGTATAGGCCTCTAGTTTAATATGCCCAAGATTTTGGAAATTATGTACCTCGTCCATGATGCTTTTTTTGGTTAAGCAAGAATCCTATCAGTGGCTGCCCACTGTGTTGTTCGAGGAGCATGCATCTATTACCTCACCACACTAGTTGCATTGGAGATATCTTCCTACATCCTTAACTAGCCCACCATTTGATGCATTAGTTCTATGATTCTGATCTGCTGGTTTATGTATAGGTTTAGTTCCAAGCTTCTTTATCTTTAGTAACAAATATAACACACACTTCCACTGTGGAAAAAGATCCCATGCTTGGACTATACCACTTCTATGGCCAGAAAATACTAAAGTTCCTACAAGTTCTTGTTTTCTTCAGAATATCTATCTCTTCTAGATCATCACTAGTGACCACAATATCATACACATATACTATTAACACTGTCAAGAGTGACTAGGTGGCAAGGGGATGCCTTGGTGACAAGGCACCCTTGGAGGCTCGCCTTGCCTAATCACCAAGCAATTTTGTATATTGTGTTATAAAATACTGTTATATTCATTCTCTTTTGAGATTATTGATAAAAAAATGCTCTTTTGAGATTATAATTATAAAATAGATGTATTAAACTAAAATATTCATTTTGTGTGCTTATATACTAATTTCTTTGTATTATTTTCTTATTTTTTAGGGTTTAATCAACACAGACATTGCTAAATGATGTACTGAACTCTCAAAGACATCAAAACCTGAACCAATAAGGAAGAATTTAAAATTTTGTTTAATCAACACCTTTTCTTTTCGACTTCCTAAACCAAAAATAGGGGTTCAGCCCCTGTATATATATATTTTTGAATTTTCTTTTCTTCTTCTCATGAATATATTGATTTTCCATACTTTAACATGAAGTCTATATTTTTCTTTTAAAAATTGTGGATAATTATTAAAGAAATTGGTTATGGAACCTAGGGAGTGTTTTGATACTGAACTAGAGCTCCCTCGAACCTATCAAACCAAGCTTTAGGTGATTTCTTTAAACCATACAATGATTTCTTTAGCTTGCACACCTTTCCTCCATCAACATCACTAGAAACCTACTGGCAGCCTCATATACACTACGTCCTACAAATCTCCATTGTAAAAGTCATTCTTAACATCAAGCTTGAAGAGAGGCCAGGAATAATTTGCAACTAGAGAGAGAACCCAAACCGAACTCATCTTTGTCACAAGAGCAAAAGTCTCCAAGTAATCCACTCCATAAGTCTATATGTACTCCTTCGCAACCAATCTTGCCTTGTATCTTTCTGTACTACCATTAGCCTTATATTTCTTTGTAAAAACTCACCTGCACTCTAAGTTTGATTTTTAATTAAAGCTTCCATTTCCTCCTACATGGCTGCCTTTCACTCAGTTTTAGAGAGAGCTTCATTAACATTCCTAGGCATAAACACTGAATCAAGGGAAGACAGGAAGGCATGTGTCGGCAAATTAAGAAAGAAAAGATTTGCGGCAAATTAAGAAAGATATGATTTGAGATTTGAACAAATTTAGGAAAGATTAGATTTGAATAAATTTAGGAAAGTCAGATCCTAGGATTAAGGGAAAGATTTAGTCAATCCCTGATTGAGAAAAATTCTAGGGGTTTGTCTCTCCTATCTTTTCTTATTTAAGGTGTATGCTCAATATGTTTTGAATCATCAATAAAGAAAATCTTCTTCTTTTCTCCCCCTGTATTTCGCAACAGCATGATATATAGATAAAGCACTTTATGGGAGATGATGTGAATTACAATGAGTTGTAAAATTGATACTCTCTCTTCCCCTTGTAGATTGTAGTGGAAGATCACCAATGGTACTAGGGGCAAGAGGTTTGTCACTAGCATTGGAGATATCTTCCTACATCCTTAACTAGCTCACCATTTGATTCATTAATTCTATGATTCTGATCTATTGGTTTTTCTATAGGTTTAGTTCCAAGCTTCTCTATCTTCTGTGATAACCAAGCAGCCATCAACATTGCTCATAAGCCTGTTCAACATGACAAAACAAAGCATATTAGGGTGGATAGACATTTCATATTGGAAAGGGAAAATTTAGTTGCCATTTATTACTTCTGAAGAACAATTAGCTGATGTCTTGACCAAGCGAGTTCCAAAAGGGAAGCTACTACATTATGTAAGCAAGCAGAGCATAGTTGACATCTGTGCTCAACTTGAGGGGGAGTGTAGAAAGACTGGACTGAATGTTCCCTAGTGCTCTTTTATTTCTTGTCTTTTATTAGTTATGTTTATGTTAATGGGCCTCGTCCATATAGGCTTGTTAACTCTTTTTTATGTTATGTTTAAGAGCTTGCCACCCCATTAAGGGCATCTTTGTAATTCTGTTCATTATGATTGAATTAGTAAATAGTAAATAGGAGAAAGAATAGAGAACTGATTGAATTCCCCTTTCCTTCCTTCTTGTCTCACCATCTTCTTCTTATGTTTTTTGCTATTTCTCTCTTTTTACATTTATTTTTCTTGGGTTGATTTTCTTCTTATGTATTACTGTTTTGATATATAAATTAATGCTTTTTGTTGCTCCTTGTTCCTTGCTCCTTAGGCACTAGAACGTAGGGGGTGCAAATTGGGCTAGTCCGAGTTAGCATTTTACACTGCTTTGGGCATGGACCTTCAGGTCGAGCCCATTAAAATTTTAACAAAGCCTAAGCCAAGTTTGTGCAGGTTGCACCCTAGTAGAATATCCTTGCACTTTTAAAACATTGTTCCAAGTTTATTTTTCCACTACAAAATAGATGTATGAAACCCTCGTATAATTGGGACAATGCTTAGTTAAGCATTAAAAGTGGTTGCCTAGTTTTCATTCAGAAGTAACTGGTTGGTTTGCTTTAGTCTAGGTCTAACTCAATTTTCCTGCTATCCTATAAATAAATACTTGTAACTTGACCATACTTTGTACATTATGGATGGAAAGGTTACTAGAATTGGTATGCAATGCAACGGTTCTGTCTTCAAGAGTGAATCAAGATAGAGAGTGAAGGGATGAGAGATCCATCATATGGATGGCCGAACCCTGCAGGAAGGTAGGGCGAAATTTCAAAAATTTCCTCACTCCCATCTGGGAATCACACCCTGTTTTAGAAAAACTGCATTTTTCAAGGATCAATCTTGAACCAAGAACCGAACCAGATCTGAACCAAAACAGTAGGAGAGGGATATACTTGAT